ATTTGGGCTCACTTGTATAGTATTGTAATGTAAATTCTATGGGTGCAACAGAAACAAGGGACACTGCAACCTAGAAGAACTTTTGTAGCCCTATGATGGCTCCTAACCCTGACGGCCCAAGATAAATATTATCAGCCTAGATACTGGATAATGAATCAATGTTAAAGAACCAAAGTCGCTGGTAGTAACAGTCACTTATATGTACATACCTACTTTTTGTTTGTTGAGGAGCGAATCTTCCGTTAGGTGTCTGAAATCAGAAAATTTTTAATGAAAGCGAGCTCGTTATGAGCTCTGTTTGAAAAAAATTCGGTTGTATTGAGTTTTAAAAAAACGTATGCATGCCAACCTCGGGGTTAATAACACAATAAGGCGAACAGGTTATCTTCCAAGCCTTTAAAGCTTTTATGGCGACATTTTAAAATCATTGAAATGAGGCTCTTAACACAAAAGAAAGACAAAAAAGCAGTCAACATGTTATGATTTGTATTGATTAGCTATTAAAAAGTTATAAAAAGATTATAAAAATATTAATATGTACCTAATATAAAAAGTGTTAAAAAGGCCAAGACGGGTACAGAAATCATGCAGCAATAAAACAGTAAGACGAAACAAGCTTAAAATGAAAGTGGAATAAAACTAAAAATAGCAGGAAGAAAATAATGGCATGAATTAGAGCCATAAAAATGTCATAAAAAAATTAAAACAATAAAAAATAATACTTTTTCGAAAACTAATGAAAGTAGTGTGGATTTTAGTTGTTCATATCGTATGATCTCTCGAAAGGGCATTAAAATACTTGCATAGTTGAATACGAACAGTGCTGTATTCGTATACCCACGTATGTGTTTTAGGTCGGCCATAGAGCCCACCATGGTACTACATATTGACTACTTTTAAGAGTACATACTTATCCCCCATTTTGTAGTATTTCTATGTAGCCTCACACACACACAAACTCACTGACTACAGAAAGACGTTGTAATAAAATTAAAATTTTACGACTTTTTTGTGGGTTTTAATAAGTAATAATTTAGTTGATTTTTTCATATTTATTTTTGGGAGCTTGTTTCTTTAAGAGCAAATCAACCACACAGTTGGCCGCAGTGGTATTTTTCACAAAATTTCCTTATGCATGTAGTACCTATATATGCTGATATATCTATGCCATAAAAAAGCCTAGAATTAGTTTAATGCCAGTAATGATGAATGAATGAAAGTAAAAATTGCTATTCAAGTATATAAAGAATTTTTTTTCTTCGGTCATAAAATTTGGCAAAAGGTCAAAACTTGATGATATTTTATGAGGAATAAAAATATGTACTAACTGGGTAATAAATATGAAATGAGCTGCAGTGTTAGCAAAGTGTTAAATATATATGGCTGAATAGGAAAATTTGACAGCTTATGCGGTTAATTTTCTTTTGGTTGTGGTATTTTTGAAAATTTTAAACAGCTACTTACATAGAAAATACGAAAATTTAGAAATGAAAACTGCTCCCTTGTACATAGTACGTACGGTGGCGTGAATATAAAGAGGGAAGAGACATTTTACCAAGTTTTAGTTATTTTTCTTTGTTTAAAATTTTTTATTACTTACTTACAATTAAAACCAAACCTTGTAAATAAAAATTTCAAACTTATTACAACATTTATCAAAATTCGATGAATTTTAAAAACTGTTCATTAAAATTTGAAACTTTTTAATCAGTTGTTTTAAGTTTTTTTTTGAGTATGCTATTTGGTAGCCCATTAAGTTTTTGTACAACAAAGTGGAAGTCTCAAGTAGCTCGGGTTTGCTGTTGATTTTTAGTAATTTTTTGGTTACAAAAGTGACGGTCGTACGTTTCAATGGGATACAAGCAAGGAAAAACATTTGTTTTCTTTTAATTTTTTAGACCCTTGTATAGCACATAACTAGCTCTATATTTAATCGAAAAAAAATTAAAACAATCGAAACGCATGGTCTTCAAATATACGCAATTAAAGAGAGTGACGGTTACGTGACAAAAATGGAATTTGATTTTTTCTTTTCTTACAAAATCGCAAAACTCTGAGGTGGCGTGACGTGACATAAGTTTTCATCGTTCGATTTTTGTTAATATGGCTTTTAAATGAATCTTTTAATAGAAATTATCTGTGGTTAGTTTTTCTTAAAAAAAAAAAAACATAATAACGTATGCGACATAACGTATGCGACAGATTTTTCCCCATACAATATTTTTACTAGTAACACATACTAAATTAAGTTTTTAATTTAATTTTTAATTTAATTTTTTAATTAAATTTTTAATTTAATTTTTTCAGTTCTTCTCTCCACCGTTTCGCGTTTTCAAAACAGAAAGAAGAAAATGAGAAACACCTTCCACAAAAAAATCGCCTAAAATCAAAGGTAAGTCCTAGCGACTTAAAATTATTGGCAGTCTCCTGAAAAGAAACGAATTTTTCGAATCAAAAAATATAGATTTTCAAGAAATTTTGTACCGTTTCTATAATTTTTTCGGAACAGAACAATCCTAGGGGATGAGAGCATTAAATTCCGACTTTACTTTTTCTCATGCTATTTCGGACCACCCTACCATACATAAGTAAATTGAAAGTTGATATTGTCCACCCCATATATATATCACAGAGGTGCACAGCGTTGGGGTATTTATGCACATTTCTATGTGCCTACTAACTTTCCTTAGTCATTAATTTTCCCTGATAGCAATAAAAAGGTACACTTGACCTTAACGCAGCTTTTAATTGTTAATTGGCAACTATAATTAAAATTTCTTAGCACTCAATTTGGTTGTAAAACTTTCAATTGTCATGTGGCGATTTAATTGCGGCTACCTGCAATCAACTGCCTCCTTCGTTCATACATTCATACATACGTACTTTGTTGTCGTAGACAGTAGCTGCGGCGCGGCGAGCTGGGCAAGCAAAAAGTGTGCGATTTGACGCTAAAATTAACGAACATAAATTTTCCACATAAACAGCGGCAAATCAAGCTTGCAACTAAGTGACTGCATATACCACAAATACAACAAAAGCGCCAAACACTTACACATCGCCAATTAAATGAAACAAAAAAACTCGCAAAGACATGCCTATGAGATTCTAACCACCGGTTGGCGCTCAATACAACTTGGGGCACGCTGATGCTTACACACATAGCACATGCATGCATACTTTCTCGGTATACCAATCACT